ATAGTCATGTAGGATGTTATAACAAAACAACTAAAGTAAGATGTTATAGGAAGCAAATAAAGAAAAGCATATTGCTATTTTTTGCCTTAACTTAAATAGGAAAGTATGATATTTTCCAATGGATTTGATACATCTATATTCAAGTAGGAGGCTATAATAAGGAAAAACACAAAGTACACTGCTATTTTTTAGTTTAACAAAAATAAGAAAAAAATAATAATTTCTAGTGGCTTTAACGCATCTATATTAATTATGTAGGATGTTATAACAAGCAAATAAAGAAGAATGATATGATAAGCAGATAAGGCAAAGCATGTTGGTAGTTTTTGAGTTTAAACAAAAGTAGGCAAATATGATATTTGAAGCACGTTGGTATTTTTTATGTTTAAACAAAAGTAGGAAAATATGCTATTTTCTGGTAGCTTAGATGCATCTATAATTATGCAGGATAGTATATGTCACTACTACAAAACAACTCTTTTAATGACACGTATTGTGTGTCATAATGGGGTATGGATGACACACAAATGCTTGTCGTTAAACCCCCAATTATAAAGGAGTACGACAAACATTTACATGTCGTAAGCTTACGACATGTATTTACAACATGCTACACATTGCGTGTCATTAAAGACTTTGTCATAAAGGAAGACGACACACATTTTTATGTGTCATGATATTCAATTTTTACAAAAAAATATAGAGGAAGGCGAGGTGGCAACTTAGGATTTGCAAAGAGAATTATGTCCGGCATGTGGAGATCTAGAGGAGAGAGTGACGAGGTAGGGGAAGGGAAGGTACATAAAAATTTAGGGGATTCCCCCCCCCCCCCCCCCCCCCCCCCCCCCCCTCCTCTTAATTATTAAGGAGGGAGGACACACGTCAGGTAGTGAAAAAGAAAATAAAGTAGGGCGCTATAAAAGCATAGAACCAAACCACGTTAAGACGCTTTAAATTGTCTTAGTTTCCCTATTTTAACCGGGTAAACAGGTAAACAGTTGTTTTGTTTTAAGTTTTCCGGTTCATGTTTTTTATATCATCTCTCAGGTGGTTAAACAAAAAAAGGAAAAAATTATATCATATTTTATAATGTCATGTTTAAGAGGCAACATAATACGATAATGTCATGTTTAACTTACAATCTATTCCTAATATTTCAGTAGTACTTATTTAATATTCCATTAATTCGCAGGTGAGATTAGTCGATTCACGGAAGCTGGGAAACGCTTGTTAGAAAAGTTCATTTTCCAAAATAAATTAAAAGGTATTAACTTTTCTATAAGAAAAAATAAGTTTGGATATGTTGAATATTTATAGTAGTTCACGGTATATACACCATTCTCAATTGTTTTGTTTAAAAAATTATTTGTATGATAATATATTCTTAAAATAGAATCTGACAATTTAATTATCTAAAAATATTTATTATTATATATTATTCACAAATCAAGTAAGAAAATTATATATAAGAAGTATAAAAAACGGAGAGAAAAAACAGATTTGTTAAAAAAAAATGTAAAATGCCACCACCAGGACATGAACCAGGACCCCTGGGTTAGAGGAGTGAGTTATGCCCCCAAAGTGGCAGATGCTATGTTTTAGATGTGCTACAGCGGCTTTTGATAACTAAAATGCCCCATATTTTATTTATTACTACTTTCCCATAATTCCATTAGCCTCAAAAAGTCAAATTAAAACTTGCATACAATTTATCACATCTTAATCTCCAACCATCTACTTTCCCAACCCGTTCCCATTCTCCTTCTCTATCTTTTCTTAGCCTCTCAAATGGCATCAATTGCACGCCAGACTACCTACACTTCCCTCAACGACAATATATGCAGTCCTTTCTGGAGAATGATACAGACCATGGCCTGCAGCAGCATCAGTGGTTGGATGCTGTTATGGAAGTGTGGTAGACGAAAAAGAATTAGGGCATCAACATTAGCAGCAGGTGAGAAAGAGTAGGAGAAGACCAAGGGCTGAGAGTTCTCAGTATCGTGGTGTTACTTGCATATGTGGTTAGTTGATTAATACAATTATGAAATAGACTATCAACTTCTTCAGGAGTAAATCTGGATTCATGTAACCGGTTTTGCTACAAACCGGTGATCATCTATTTGTTACAATACAATTTTCATATTAAATTACCGACAAACATGTGTTTAAGCATTGTAGTTTAAACACTTGATGAAAATGGCATTGGTACTATTCATTACTTGATTTTTCTCACAATTATCTGTTTAAGCCATGGTTCTATACCTTTTTTGCTTCAAAAACATTGTAGTTAGTTACAGTGTGCCCAAATTACCATTTTACTCATAATTCATGTCCATTTTAAATTCTTTTTTTATCAGGGAACATCTATAGAGAATCAAATTTGGGCTTGACAGATTCAACACCCATACACATCAGCTCGTCATCTCTTTGTTGCAGCATCATTAGGGCTAATTCAACAAACAATGTTTCATCATCATAATCATCTACCAGGTGTTGTTGGAAGGTGTAGATATATTATTCCGAAGGAAAAATCAGTTGACGGGATAAATGGCGGAAGTATATACCTACACTCCTTGCACTAATGTACCTTTATCCTCTAACTCATGTTGTCGATATATACCTAATTAGTTCGATATTACATTGAAAAATCATAGGAGGGTCAAGGGAGACCAAATCAGTTGGCTCATCATAGATGTCAAAAGGGTAGATCTGAGTTCATAATTGCTCAGAATACAAAAGGGATATTATGTTGCGCAGAGAACATATAGTTACGTCGAAAGTTTAACTGCCAATCCCATGGGTCCTAAATTCCATATTTGGATCAGGTCCTTATTCTAAAAACTTCACTATAATCCAATAAGACAAGAATTTTATGTTTATTATTTAATTCCAATTCCAATGAACAAAGTAACCCCATTAATACCGGTTTTATTTTGGAAAATAAATTGACGCCGATCTTCTTTTATGACATCTTTCACTTTTAACCAATGAGAAGGAGTCAGTGACTCTTACTGCCAATCGTATGAAGACAATAGTAATTCTATAAATAACAAAATAACCCACATAAGTATGTTGATGGGGTGTTTGGGATTTGTTATTCAAGATACCTTAAGTTTTTCTTTAAAAAGGCTTATTAGATTATTCGACCAAAATTGAGTTTTCAAAAGGACATCGTCCAATAAATTCCACGTTCTTCAACTCTTCTTTTCTGCACTCAAAAACATCGAATTCACGTAGTTCAAAATCGAATTATCTCTATTTTAAGTTTAGAAATATTATGAATTCAAAGGAAATTAATTATTATTGCGCAAAATTAACACAAGATGGAATTTATCAAGCATAGTATTGTTTCAGATAATGTTTGTGTTTGGAGTTGGGGTCACAATACTTGTATCCTTTTCGCTATTAATTCTATTTAAATTAAGATGTGATGTTATTCGGTTCAATATGATATTTTGCATCATTGTCATTGACATCATCATAAATGGTCAACTCGGTCAACGAAGCTTAATTCCAACTTTGGTACGGGTGTTCAATGAGCGAGCTACACAACTCTACTTTATTGACAGATAGATGAATCAATATCGAAAACTAAAGCATGAATTTAGATTTCAAATTAACCTACCTTCCTCATTACTTCTTCAGATTCCTGATGATGTATGTCACTAATTAAACTTTTTCTTCTTTCATAAAAGTTGGAGGCATGATATACCATGTATGATAGAAATCGTTTGCCAATTTAGAAAATAAAAGAGATGAGAAAGAGAAAGAAACATCGTGAAAGAGAGAGAAGAATAGAAATGAATCACATTAATTAGCATGCAAAGTACTTCCCACCTTTTTTCTTTAGTATTTATATCTAAAAGTCAATTTCTTTACAACAGATTATGTTACAATGTTACTATCCTCGATATCAAGTTGGTAAATTGGTTACTTTTCTTGTTCTATTTTGAGCAAACAAATTCTCTAATCCAACTAAATTTTCTTTGTCCGATGTGTCATTTTGTTAACTTGTATCAATATTCCTCTTCCACCCCAACCTTGTCCTAAACGTTGAAATCATAATAAGTTTTGAGGAAGCATCCTACATCCTCCCAAGTAGTAAAACAGAACTATGATGCATTCCTTTCCAAGCTATAATAAACCGATGTTTATTTTGGCCCTCTTGATTTACCTCTATTTTATCCCGTATATGTAACGTATATGTAACTGGACTAGAATCAATAAAATGTGTTGGTAATTGATGACGCGCCCCTCAGAGCAGGCAAGAGATAAGAGAACCCCCCACGAGGAGTTCCTAACGAAGCCTGGAAGAGCGTAACATGTACGCCAGTAGTTAAGTCTAGAACGTCATAGCTAGCTAGCATACGTTACAACTACTGAACTGGGGGACTTGATGACGCACCCCTCAGAGCCGGCCAGAGACAAGAGAACCCCCGGCAAGGAGTTCATAACGAAGCATGGGCTGGCGACTTAGCCGTCCTGACCGCCCGAGACCCACGAGAGGCGACCGCGTGGGAAGTTCGCCCTCGCCAAAGGTTGTCCTCAGCTACAGTCCAAGGATAACGACTCCAGTCGACAGAGCACGACCAGAGCACTATCGCCTGAACCAATCGTTGGACCGGACACGAACGTAGAGTATGATCCTCCAATAAGGACGGCGGATCCTTTCGGGGTCGCGGTCCTTGTCCCTCGTACGGACCAAGGAGGATCCTCACTATAAAAGGCCGATCACTTTGCCTTGAGAGGTAAGCTATTCTTCCCCGATCATTCACCCTCATACTTCCATACTCCTCCCACTAACTTGACCGTCGGAGCGTCTTTCCGGGACCTCCCCCCGGAAGGCGGCTGACGTTTCTTTCTTCTTTGTGACCTCTCAGGTTCTATTTCATCGCTCCTCTCCCAGCAGCGAAGGTGGTTGAGAGCCAGGTCGCATCATTTGGCGTCATCCGTTTGTATGACAATAGATACGCAAACCCCTTTTCTCTTTCTCCTTCAACCTAACCACCCATGATGAAGAAGACGACGGGTGAGCCATCGAAACCACTGCATAGCCCGATACACCCAATGTCGTCGTTGTAAGCAACCAACACTCCAGCAGCGCCATCCTCCGGCGGCCCGCCACCATCTCTTGAAGCAGCGCCATCCTCTGGCGGCCCGCCCCCATCTCTTGAAACAACGTCATCCTCCGGTGGCCCGTCACCATCTCTTGAAGCAGCGCCATCATCCGGTGGCCTGCCACTGTCTCTTGAACCAGCACCGTCATCCAGTGCTCCGCCACCATATCCCATGACGGCACCGTCACCAGATGACCCACCACCTCCTATTGCAGCAATCACGCAATCGGTTTTAACCCAGAGTCAAACATCGCTATCCACCCTGACCCATGCAACACCCCCACCATTCCCAAATAGCAGTGTGCCTAACCAATACATTGTATCCCCTTTGCTGCCATTTTTCTCTAACACCACCAGTTCTAGCAACCCCCAAACAACACCCATAACGCCTTTCGTGAGTAGCTTACATACGAACAACACTATCATCGGCCCAAGCGTTACTCCACAACCGCAAAACCACCCGTCATTGATGGCGGGCACTGCGTCAACATCACCACTCGCGCTTTACCAGCAAATACCCATGGCCCAACAATAAATACCCGTGGCCCAATAGCAAATACCCATGGCCCAACATCAAATACTTATGGCCCAACAGCAAATACCCATGGCCCAACAACAAATACCCATGACCCAACAACAAATACCCACGTCCTACACTTTCCCTGCTCCATTTCAGCCGTCAAACTTCTACGGCTCAGTAACGCCAGACCTCGCAGCATATAACAACATGTTAGTACAACCCTTTTTGGCAATGCAACTACCAGGGTACCACTTCATTCAGCGGACCCCAAACCAAGATTGCTTATCACGAAGTGTCACATCGTCGTTCGTCAAAGAACTCCTGGAATACGAAATCCCTAACACCGCCAAACTGCCCCACCTTAAAACATATGATGGCACTACCGACCCAGATAGCCACATCGATACATACGAATGGACCATGACGTCCCTCAAGCTAGACGAATGGTTCTGGTGCACATACTTCCCCACCACCTTAGACGGCAACACAGGGACATGGTTTAAGACACTGCGCCCAGGCAGCATCAACAACTTTAGCCAGCTGAAGTACCTTTTTCTAACTAACTTTATGCAAATTTGAAAGTACAAGGGTGATTGCCACTCGATTATTGGGTGCAAACAACGAGAGGGGGAGACAGTCAAGGACTATTTCGCCAGGTTCACCAAAGCAACGCTCGACGTCCCAGGGCACGATGAGGGGTTGATCGTGGGAGTATTCACATGGGGATTGTTACCAGGGTCGCTGTCCCAGAAGCTCATGGGCAAGCAACCCCAAACAAGGGAGGAACTAAAGGAGCGAGTGGAACTATTCCTACGCCAAGAAGAATGCGAAGCGTTGAAGCAGGCATATCTCAACGCCATGACATCCTCCGCTGGAAAACAAAACCACCACCCTACTCCCTTTCACGAACCTCGGGGGGAGGCAGGTTCATTGGACGAGATAGACGGTCGCAGGGGCGTTTCAGACCTTTCATCAAAGATAAAAGGCGGGGAAGATGAGCAGAAGTCTACACGGTCGATGAGAAACCGACGGGAAAAGGCAATAAGACGCGGTATTGCAAATACCACAAGAGCAGGACACATGACACAATCAACTGTTCAGCTCTAAAAAGGGAAATTGAGGAAAAGTAACTAAAGGGAAACGTGATAGAAATCGCCAAAAGCCTACGAGCCAAATTTGATGCAGAAAACCCCAAATATGCCGCTGGAAGGGAAGATCGTAGGTTGGAAATCCTTGCGATCCACCACAAAAGGGGGAGAGCAGAACGCACAGCAGACACACGAAGCATCACAGAAAAAATACAGGGGTTGACGTTCTCCATAAACGACCCAAGCGCAACCGGCTGGAGCGGGGACAACCCCCTCGTCATCCAAGGATCCATTCGAGATGTCATCGTTCATCGAGTATACGTCGACACGGGAAGTTCTGCAGGCATCATCTATGAGCATTATTTCCGGCTTCTACCGAACGCGTGGAAGGAAGGCCTGAGGCCAGCTGCAGGCCAACTCATAGGGTTCACAGGACACAGCTTGTGGCCCTTAGGTACAATTCACTTACCGTTTACATTAACCAGCCAAGACAAAACCAAGCAACAGACCGCCCTGGTAGATTGTGTGGTCATACGACATCCGTCAGAACACAATGTCATATTGGGACGAACGGCTCTACTAAAGTTCAGAGCAATCTCATCAATAATACATGGGATAGTGAAATTCAGTACAAGCCAGGGACCAGGGACAATCCTAGCCACCCCCCTCCCAAGGGAACTCAAATGCTACGAGATCATGCAACCAAGAGACATCTCAGCTGAAGCCAAGAGACCGAGGCCAGACTCGTCAAATGGGGGAGAGGTAATTAATAGGGAATACCCAAACCAGCGAGTGAACGTGGGAACGGCTCTCCCTGCGAAAACGAGGCAAGCGGTTGGTTCAGCTGTTGCAGAAGTATAAACATGTGTTCGCCTGGACGCCCACAGACATGGTGGGGGTCGACCGAGGAATCATAGAACACAAGCTAATGATAAAACCAGCAGCTAAGGAAATAAAGCAGAAGAAGCGAGTCTAAGGAGGAGACCAAACCAAGGCAATCAATACAGAAGTGGCCAAATTGACCAGCATCGGAATCCTTAGGGAAGCGATTTTCCCCACATGGATCGCCAACCCGGTAATGGTGAAGAAACACGACGGTAGTTGGCGCATATGTTTTGTTTACTTCGATCTCAACAAAGCATGTCCCAAGGATTGATACCCATTACCGGAGATAGACCAGAAGGTAGAGTCCCTGCAAGGTTTCTGTAACATCCTGTTTTGGATCGTATGTGATTTAGGGTTCATGGGCTACAACTCGGGGCATGAGGAAGCCCCGGGGGCTGAGACGAGTTGCTAAAAGAGTAGGGCTTCTCGTCACCTTTCTGTGGATATAAGGTTCGTTGGAAACGAACTTGTAACGAAGGAGCCATGATAGTTTGAAGATTTGGCAAATTTTGTCCTTTAAGTGAAAAAGATGGCAACGGAGTACGCTGGGCGTACATGTGTATGTACGCTTAGCGTACTCATGCGCGTGACTTTTAAGCGGAGCCACCTAGTATGCTGGGCGTACCAGAGGATACGCTGGGCGTACTAGGCACAGAAGGAAAACCCTAATTGAGAGGAGTGTCCCTATATAAAGAATGAGATTGCCTCATTTCTTGCCACCATCCTCAGTCAATAAACCCTCTCAAACCCTAATCCTCGTTCTTGAGCTTGTGTGTGACCATTGTGAGCTTATAAGTGTTCTTGCGGGACTTTTGGAGTGAAGAAGGTGCATGGAAGAGAATAGAGTTGGAGTCCAGGCTTTGGATCTGAGCTTTTCTGTGGTTGGAGCATCATTTGAAGGTATAAAGCTCAAAGCTTTCCCATCCTTTTTGTTTTGTGCATGATATGGTCCATTTTAGGGTTTTTGGTCCCAAAGCTTGAGGTTTTATGAGTTGTTGCACTCCAGAGCTTAATATCTGTCCTTTTAAGTGTTTCTAGTGGAGAGGATCCATAAAAATGAGGTCTTGAACGTGAGAATCAACCCATGCATGAGATATGAACATTTTGAGTTAATAGAGTAAGAGTTTTATGTGTTGTGACCTTATCAGCCATGCAAAGGCTTAAAGTCACTGACTTTATGGAGTAAGAGCCCTTTTCGAGACCAGATTTGGGATTTGAGTTAATGTCTTAACGGGTTAAGACCGAATGAGTAGAAAGAGTGAATCTGGGGAGTACGCTGAGTGTAATTCCTGTACGCCCCACGTACTGCCCCAGTGTCCTCTATGGCCAATATGGATTTGCAAGTACGTTGAGTGTACCAAGAGTGGTACGCCGCGCGTAACCTCACTGTGGGCTTTTGGGCTAAGTATCATTTTGGGCCTTGAGTGTCGGGCCTGGAGTTTGGGCTTGTTGCAACAGAGTCTTGGACCAGAGGATTATATATATGTGCTTTGGGCCCTTGAGTTGGGCTTGCCATTGAGAGTTGGGCCTCGGGAGAGCCCATTTATTATTGGGCCTTGGTGGGCCCAATGGGTTTTAGGTCATTGATGGGATGGTTAGTGGGTTACCTTTAGACCTAAAGAGTGAGGATTTGGACTTAGATCTTAATGGGGTAATTGTGGATTTAGGTCCAATGTTGGAGGCCGGTGCAGCAACATCTATAGGAGCTGTTCATCAACCGAGGTGAGTCTTCTCACTATACTTTACCATGAGTGGTATTTTTGTGTGACCGAGATGTCTTATGTGCTTATCTGTGTATTGTGATATCCTGTATTATTTCTTTGTGACTTATGTTGTGTATTACTCAGAGTTTAAAGAGTTAGGATCGAAGGGTCCACAGAGTTAGGACAGGAGGGTCCATCAGAGTTGTGGGACTGGAGGGTCCTATTGAGACACATTGACCGGAGGGTCTTATAGAGTTATAGCCTCGAGTGGCTAATGTGTTCTATGTGGTATTCTGGGGAACTACTAAGCTTCGTGCTTACAGTGTTTTGTGTTATGTGTTTCAGGTTCTTATCAGAATCGCGGGAAGGCGTCGGCTTGATTGTACACATATCTGAGTTGGAGATATGTCTTTGGAGGATCCTGGAGATTGTGATAAACCATTATGAAATGTGTTGATAAATTAATACTTGTGATTTTTGAGAAAATGTGACATGTGGTTTATTGTGTTTTAAAATGAAAAAATTTGGTTTGAAAATTTACGGTGTTAGAAGTTGGTATCAGAGCCTTGGTTTGAGGGATTCGGATGCACCTTCGGGTGTGTTTGGACTCAAACTGAGGATTTGAGAAAGATTTTCAAAGGAGATGAATTTTTCTGAAATGAGAAAGAGTTTAAGAGAAAACGAGATGGAGCAGTGTTGTACAATCAGCCAGAGCCCGAACGATGATTTCCCAAAATACCCTTACTTTTATTCTATGAGATATTTTATGAGATATTATGCATGCTAGAGATAGGCTAGGTATTTCATATTTTAGGACTAGATTTACCTGATATATGATGCCTTAGCCTAGGAGTTGCTGCTATCTGTGATGTGCTTTGAGTATGTGCCGAGTAGGAGTATCTAGCAGGAATCACCTAGAGAGAGAGAGAGAGAGAGAGTTCTGAGTCGAGTGATAATCTAGGAGAGATACCTAGATGA